TTTCATGGCAGAGTGGGAACGTGAGGTGTTGCCCCTCTGTCCATTTGACCCACTTTTTTACGGACGCTTTTTGGATGACATTTTTATGGTTTGGACTTATTCTATCGAACAGTTTTGGGAATTCTTTGAAATTCTCAACAACCACCATCCTTCTATCAAACTAACCGCAAACGTGAGTGACAAAAGCATAGACTTTCTCGATACCACAGTCTTTAAGGGAGATTCCATAGCAGAAACAAATAAACTGGATATTAAAGTGTATTTCAAAGAAACTGATACTCATCAACTCTTGCACAAGAGCTCCTTTCACCCAAAACATACCTTTTCTGGTATAATTAAGTCACAAGTTTTACGATTTCATCGAATTTGTACAAGATCTTCTGATTTCAACCAAGCCTGTACGATTGTTTTCTAAAAACTGAAAGAGCGTGGGTACTCTAAACGATTTTTACGAAACATAAAAAATTCCACCTTAGCACAGATAGCAGCTAAAAACAGACTTTATGCCGAAGTACCTCCAGGTTTAAGAAGTGCTCCATGTTTGTCCAGTAGATGCAAAACATGTCCCTTTATATCAGAAACTCATTATTTTGTAAGCAACTCTACGAATAAAAGGTACCCGATCCAGGAACATCTAACATGTGAACATTCGAATGTAATATATTTAATTTCATGCAGGAAATGCCCCAAACAATATGTAGGAGAAACTAAGAATAATTTACGAACTCGCTTTAATGCTCATAGGTCAGACATCAAATTAAAGAAAGACAAGCCTGTTTCTAATCATTTCAACCTCGACGACCATTCAATAGACGATCTCACCCTAATCCCAATTGAGCGTATAGAAATTGACTTGCCCGAAGATGAAACTACCAAATTCCGTCAATCTAGGGAGGCCCATTGGATTGAGACATTGAATACAGCAAGACCTATAGGACTAAATATTCATCATAATGTAGGCATAGCACCCTTTATTGTCCCGTTTAATACAACCAGCAATCGAGCAAGCAAGATAGTTCATGCCCACTATAAGAGCCTTCAA